AGATAAGAGAGCAAGCTGAATATCTGCTTCATTTGACTGCATGAGCAGAGCGCGGCGTGGAGGCATTGTGTGTTAAGATAGAGTAGGTGATCAAAGTTGGTGGGGTGACCGACTCGCTTGTCTGACCGACTCGCTTGCCAACCATGTTATGTTATTAATAAGTTAGCTAAACAAGTTAGGGGTGCAAAGTTGCTATTTATAGCCAAGAAACCCTAACGTTAAACTGACTTTGGCACGAGTTACCCCCGCTCTCGCGTATCCTCTCGGGTAGGGGCCATCTGTGGGAGTTTGCAGTGTTGTTTTCGCTGCTGCCTGAATTGTTTGCTTGGCTGTCCCACACAAGCTCTATCGCGCAGAAACTCTAACCCTACTTACTACCAGTAGGTATAACGTAGATTATCACCGAGCCAGCCATATCACTGAACTAGCCATTTTCTCTTAGCACAACTAACACAAGTTACTGCAACTACAACTACTTACTATTAAATAGTGACCTAGCATACTGTATACTTGCATTAGATTTAGAAGATGTTTCTATACCCTCCTAGCACGTTCGTGCGTTGTGTCTAGTCTTGCTGCAGTTCCCACAGCGCTAAACAGTTGACTAAGCTCCTAGTTAACCACCTCTACCCTAAGTCTTCTTAGATAGCTAAGCTGCTACACACGCCTCAGCAGCTACCCACGATGCTCCTGGGCCATACTCAAGTGTGCCACTATGCTGAATCTGCTTTCTCTTACGCGATTTTCTCTTAGTTATTACTGCTAATTGCTCTTTAAGCTCTTGCACGCAGGCCTTAATAAGGACATTTTTATGCAGCATCTCTTTAGCCCCTTTTATAAGCTTTAAGAACCCCTCTTGCGCTACACTTAGTAATTATTAGAAGGAGTTGCTTACAAGCTTAGATTAAGACCTAAACTTGTGTGTATTGCTTAGCGTCTTAGATTAACGTGTTTCACAAGCGAGCGCCGCACCCAACCGAGCGCCGCACTCTCGCTGCCAGAACGCCGGCGCAACAACAGCGCGTAATGTCTCAACCACAACAAGCTCCTACACTCTATACTGAAGCTGATGTACAGCTTGCTATATCTGATATCTTAAGAAACCAAATTCAAAGTATCTAACGCGCTGAGAAAGTCTATAAAGTGCCTGAACGAACAATCTGACGCTAACGCGATAGAACACGCTCTTAACGCGACTGCGAGCTGAATGCGAAGCGCCTTACAAAGCTAGAAGAGGAGGCAGTTGTACTACGTATACTTGAGGAATCTGCACGTGGCCTACCCTCCTCAAAGGCAGACGTACAAGAAAGATATGGCAGATAAACTGCTAAGAGAGCGCGGCGCAAAGCCTGTTGGCAAGAACTGGGTTAACAACTTGGTAAAGCGTACACCAGAGCTCCAGAAGCGGTGGACCCGCCCATACAATCGCCAGCGGGCTGCCTGCGAGGACCTAGCAGTTATCCAGCCCTGGTTCACGCTTGTTCAGTCCATGAAGGCGAAGTATGGTATTATAGA